CAGAGGCATGGCGAGTGATTAGGAAAAATATTGATGTTGATCGTAAGTTGTTTTATAAGGATGATGCGGCTTTATGATAAATAATTTCAGTTTGCAACAGTAACCTCTGTCTTTTAGCTTGCTAGCTTGTAACATTCTACTACACTTCAGTTATATCTGGTGCTGACTGCTTGTATTTCAAAATTTCTTAAAGCGATAGCAGCGCATATATAGGGAAAGTTTTGGCCAAAAGCGGAACAATTAACACAAAAAAAAACCCTGAAATAAGTTTGCTTTTTGAGTAGTTTATTGAAACGGTTAATTTCTGAATGTTCACAAAGATGAGTGACAGGAGCTTTACTTAACAACACAGAGAAGACGCGTCCAGCACCTTTTCACAACGTTGTCTTCAAAAAAAAAAAAAAAAAAAACAGGTCAGAGGCGTCTCACTTGTCCATGCCAATAAAGCGTATTCGGTTTGATTGTCCCCTTTAAGGCTCAGGACATTAAAATTGATGGTAGTTCAACTTGTGTTTACAGGGCTTGCTGTAAGGATTATTTTACTGGTGCATTATATTTTACAAGTGATCTACAGGGTACAAGTCCTATCCATACAGTCACTGCGGACACTTGGGACACACTTCCCTGCAGGAGCTTTTGGCACTTTTGTTCCAGCTAATGCAATTTGCATTGTAATTTGAGAGAGACAGTCAATAATGTAATGAAGTGTAAAGCTCAATTATATGCATACAATGGTGTTTTATAAGCGTTTGGACAGTGATACCGCATAAACTGTGCTGAAATTCCTTTACGGTTCACAGCATCTGGATGTAAATACTGACAAATTGATGCTGACAGTTCTAGTTTTAACCTTGTGTTCATTATGTGTGCTGGGCTACAGAGCCAAAGAGCAGAGACTGATTCACTGTCCAAATGCTTACAGCAGACTGTGGCTTACAGGCCAGGATGGCCATATTTTTTATATTTTTTAAACAACATATTTTGTACAAAATTCTGTGCTTGTTAATGTTAGCATGTCAACGCCTTTACATGCCCTTCCAAATAAGTTATATTACTCCATACAGTACCTAAGACTGCTAAAAATGGGCTTATGGAGTTGTACAAAAATATAAATGTTAAGCTGGGATTTCTTTCACAGCACAAAGTCAAGAGTTAATTATACACTGAAAAGGAACATTAGTCCATTTCAGAGCATATGGACTCATTAAGAGTTGATTTAACACTGAATATTTCACTGTCAATCGAACATAAGGGTACTGACTCTTGTTCAGAATAATTGAGTACAGGCTTTCAGTCCAAATAATCAGTTATACATCTGATTTTACCAACCAAACCCCAGAGTTTTTGCTAAAGACCTTGATTAATAGAATCAGCTGTGTAAATGAACTGTTGGAATTAAAAACCTGCACCTACACTGGCTCGATCTGGATAAAATTTTGTGCCCCTGATCAAACAGGAATCGGGGATTTGTTTGCACTGATAATTATCTGATACAGCCAGTATACGTGGTGTAAACAAAAGCCCCTCTGGCAATGAACTGACCTCCCTGATGTGTAGCATCTGTTTCCAAACTAGGTGAAGGGTGCATAGGAAGGCCATCTCCCGACAGCGGTAATGGCATTTTATTTTGCAGGGCTGTTCCTCTGTCCTATAATGAAATACCTCCTCAAGTTCTAATTGACAGTGATCAAATTAGCTTTTAACTGAGCTGGAGCATTTTCTGAGGAACAAAAATTGGCATTTTCACCGGCCTTGCCATGATGACAATCTGCAGATTCTAAAGATGGCAGAATGAATTCCAGCATATGATGCACATTCCACTAAAATCAATTAAATCAAACCAGAGTGTTTAAAATCTGTATTTATTCTGTGCAGAGAGAGCACTAGTATATGTATGTATTGATTTGTATTTGGCCCATTCAACTCCTAATTTCACCATCAGGCTGACTTCTTGAACCAGGAAATTAGTGAATGTGGTGTTGCAGGTGGTCAAAGCAATGCCAGCGAGCAAAATGATCTACACTCACTAGTCTTAAAATGAATTTGTAAAAGTTAATTTAAACCTAATATTCTGCTGGAACTGGAATTATTGATTTGAACAAATAAAAGTTGCATATAATTTCTTGTACAACGCTTCCAAATCATAGTATCAAGTTAAAAACCATGTTCACAAGCAGTCATGATTGAGTATATAACTCCAATGAAACATAAAACTAACAGGCCATTGTACAATATAAATTTTTCTGAGCTGTTGAAGAGGCTCTGGAGTCTGTTGAACTCCAAACAGACTATAAGGGTTAACAGTTGGCATTTTATTGTGTATCTGCAGACAATAAGAGCTTCTTCTGAAGTTTAGTAGCAAAGATATATATCAATATTTTCATATTCTATGTACAACGTATAAATGTACCTGTCATCGAAAAACTATTGCCATACAATAGTTCCCCAGCAGAAATCCCAGCCCATGACCTAAGATGGAATATGGCCTGAAACAGCTTCTGCTATAGCAGAACACCATCTGTAACTTGGCGATGGTCTGTATTCAGCACCAAGCTGGCCTTCCAGCTGGAAAAAGTCTTGCCAGCTCAATTACTATTGCAATCATCTTGTTGCCAGCTTGGATATCTCCAAAACCGCTTCAAGCCAGCTGCACCATCTTCAGACCAAGCTTGCAAAAGGCTGGAATTGGCAGGGCTCACAGAATTCGGGAAGTCAATAATATATTGGTTGAAGGGCATCCGCCCAAATTAGGAAAATGGTGCAACAATCTGAGAGAAAAGCTGTGAGTTGAACACCTGCTAAACATTGAGGGAAGCCTATCATACATCCTGCTATTGATGGTTAAATAGAAGTAATAGTGTGCATTGAAGTGCACAGCTACCCTGTCAGAGTTTAGTTACCCATTCTTTTGAAATGATTACATTTGTCTCATCACACTGAGGCAAGAGTGGAGGTAGATCCAACAAACAAAGGGCCCTGTTCATGTAGGGACAATATTGTTGTTGACGGGCCATTAGTCTAATGTCTGTTAACGCCCAGAAAGGGCTGTTCACGAAGGGACATTTGATCTTATCAGCTCTCCTTGCGGTCCGATAAATTAGAGGCAGAAAAGTGGACTTTTAATTCTCATTAAAAGACAATAGTCGGGGCTGCCGAATAGCTCACTCGGTAAAGCATTGCGTTGCGAAGCAAAAGTGACTATCACGTCGCAGGTTCGATCCTCGCCTCGTACCAACCGGCAGTGGTCGGCAGCCTTCTTAGAGTAGCGCACAATTGGCTATAGCGCTACAGGGCTGCAAATTGGGAAGGGACTGCCGGGGAAGGAAAATAATAGTTGCCTTGTTCATTGCTCAAGCGCCTCCTGTTGTCCAGACAGGCGCTCATCAGGAAGATTCTAAGCCTGTTCATGTCCAAGTATCCTCCGCCCTCATTCTGAACTTGCGAAGATTCAACCAATAAGTGTATAAGAAGCGGTGGTTGACGGGCGCATGCTTCGGAGGAGAGCCGCGAACTGTCCACACTCTCCTGAATTGGCAGCAAGGGGTCGCATAAGAGCAAGCCTTGTGCCTTGTACATAGTTCACCACTTGGGCATTCCAGATTCGGGTGGGATTGGAGATGCCAAATAAAAAATAAAAAAAAAAAAAGACAATAGTCGAGATTCAAAACAGCGGTGGCATGGAATCATCTGATGCGACACAAATGAAACTTGAGACATAACTACATTTTCCCTATTTCTCTCAGAGTTTGAGAACAGTTCTGTTTGCCACTCACAAGGATGAACATTAACTTTTGTGAGATTTCCTCTCCCAATTTTTTTTTTTTTTTTGTGCTGACAATAGAAGGGGTATTTCCTCTGATTGTCACAATCTGCTCTGCTGCTGCTGCCTCTCCCTCTGCCTGGCCACACCCCTTCCACTGCAATGCGCTCAGCTGAGTCTCGTTACCCAGCCAGCATATAAGCAGCTCTGTTTCACCAACTCTTTGCCAGATTGTCGCTGCAGCATGCACTACTCTCCAGCGTTTATCTTCGCTCTGACTTCCTGGAATCAACTCTGCCTGCCCCTGACGATGTCCTCTCGTTCCTGCCCCAGTAAACCTGAAAGCCTTCTGCCTCTGGCTGTCTCCAAAATCACTCACTCATTCACTGTTCCCTACTCACTATAAAGGGACTCAGTATGCAGGTGACTATATAGTGAGCTCATTGACAGAGGGAAGAAACGCTTTCAGACACTACCCAGTTCTGTTAATAGCGTCATTGCTGTCGCAAAATTTAATTGTACCTGTGCAACTGCTGAAGGATTGGACGTATTTTTGTAATAAACGAACGGAGTATATTTTCCGCCATGTTTATGTTCACCATTATCATTTAAATAATACAATTTTGCCTTAATTTTCTTTTGTTCTCTAACTCATCATTATTCGTTTTAATTGTACCTAAATGTGCGTTTTAAATCTCTCTCTCATCTTTACGTTACGTGCACTATCCTTAATGAAATATCCCGTGTGAACAAACGGGTCTCCTGCGCTGGTCGGTTTCCAATAAAAAAAAAAAAAACATTTACGCGCCTGAAGTTGAATAAGTGTCTCGTGCCTGTTTTCACTTAGTAAAATTAACCAAACTCCATTGACTAAACGCAGCTCTTTCATAGCTTTTCGGTTTGTGTGCAGTGCATGATGGGACGTATAACTGGGTTAGGGACCATCGCATGTTCACTACATTTCGCGGTGGATTGTGGGATGTAATGAGTTCACTATATAGGGGATAATAATTCTTACAAACAATTCGGACAGCACTACAAAATGGCGAACCCACTATATAGTGCACTATATAACCCACTATATAGTAATTTCAGACACAGCCTCTGACTTTGAGTTCTGCCTGTGTGTTTCCTGGTTCCTGTCTGCTGGCTTCCAAGCCCCTGTCCAAGCCACCCATCTTGCCACTCCACTGCCAACCTGTGTGGATACGACTCAGTCTGCCGAGCTTCAAGCTAGCCTGCTCTGGTGGCCCAGTGGTAACTCTCCTGCCTGTGGTGTGGGTGACCCGTGTTCAAATCCCGCCATTAGTGCCTGTCCCAGGAAATTACTGGAAGAGCTCCGCTCAAGATCCACAAGCTCCAGAACCTGATCTACATCAAGCTATTCTGTTTGCCTCTGCTCAGAAACAATGAAAAGCCAGTAAAGATTCACTTGTGTTGCTTGTGCTGCATTTGGGTCCTGCCATTCTCCGTGATACTAATAGCAAGATGACTTTGTGATGTTGCCAGTTTGGTACTTTTGCTCTACTTATCTCTTTTTGTAAAGAGCAACTTAGGTCTTACTTTTTGAACAGCGTGTTTTTTGCATCTTCTTTGGCAGTTTGTTTTCCCCCTGCGCTGCTGACTACATCTGATTGAGCATCCACAGTGGCTCACTAGGTCATATTCTTAAAACAAACAGGGAATTTTCTGTTGGCCCTGGTGACTGCTGTTCATGAAAACACCTTGTGTTCTGAAAGTTAAAGCCCTTCAGCAATCAGGGCTTCAGATACAATCCTCCAAGAAACAACAGTCCCTCCATAAATAGGCCCCCAGGTGAGGTGAGGAAATGTCTAATCAACTGTTTTAATTGATCAGTTAAATACAAACAACAATAAAACTAGCCGACCTTGTAATTGTGCAAGACAAGGAATGGTCACTGTCATATGTATGCAGCAGGGTAGCCTAGGTGGCTTGACAGGAGACTGAAGAGTTTCTGGTTCATGCCCCTGACTTGATCTGAAGAGATGAAGTTGCAGCCATTGAGCCTTAAGAAAGGCCCTTAACCCCAGAATTACTCCAAAGGCTTTATCCCGTTTCTCTCCATCTTTTCTCACATGCAGCTGTTTTATCAGGTATGTCTCCAAGGGCATCCTTGAAAAAGAGAAACATGCTCAATGGTACTTTCCCTCATTAAAGGTTAAAATAGAATTAGACATTTTTTACAGTGCCAAATCAGAAAAAGTTGAGATAATGTGTTGAATTAAAATGAAACTGAAAGCAGTGATGTGTAAATTATCTTTGACCAGAATTATCTTGAGAACAATACAAAAACAAATTATTTGATGTTTCACCACAAGAACTTTATAGATTTTTTTAAAATAAGCACTTATTTCAATTTTGATTCTTGCAAGATTCTTCAAAAAAGTTAGGACAGTAAGGTATTTACCACATAGCAATGTTGCAATTCTTTTCGACAATAAACATAATTATTTTATGGACTGAACATACAAAGTAATTGACTGTTCCTGGTGTGATTTTGTCCCATTCTTTGTACAAACAAGTGTTAAGGTCTTCAACAGGGTTTTTTGTTGTTTCATTTTGCTATTAAAAATGGCAAAAAACCACTCATTTTCCATTAGGAGGTAGTCAGGACTGCAGGTTGGCCAGACCAGCACCTGCACTCAATTCTTACAGAGCCATGTCTTTGAAAGGCATGCAGAATGCAATTTTGTGTTCTCGTTGAAGTGGGTGTTCCTGAAAAAGCTTTTGAAGACAGCATATGATGCACTAAAATCTCAGTGTATCTCTTTTAAACATTAATTGTGCCTTCACATGTGACCAAGTTACTCTTGTCAAGGAGGCTGATACAACCCCACACCATGACAGACTATGGCCTTTGGACATCTTGCTGGTAACACTGTGGATTGTCCTCTTCTTCTTTGGTCTGGTGTGCACAGCATCCATATTGATTTGTCTGACAACAATCTATGTTCCCACTATGCGATGGTCCATAACAGATGCATCAGAGCCCAGAGAAGTCATGGGTGCTTCTGGACTCTGTTAAATTAACTCTTCCTTTTTGCACAGTAAAGTTTTAACTGGCATCTATTGATGTATTGTTGTACTTAATAAAGGTTTGCCAAAGGAATTCTGAGCCGATGTGATTGTATCACTTACAGATTAATAATGGTTCTTGATGCAGTGCCGTCTGAGTGATTGAAGATCACAGGTATTCAGTTCAGGCCTGCGCCCTTGCTCTTTATGCACAGAAATTCCTCCAGATTCCTTGAAACTTATGTTATGCAAAATAGACAGTATAATATTCATATTCCTCCCTATCTTTCTTTGAGGCCCATTGTTTTTGAAACCTTCCCTGCTTTTGTGGGCAACTTGACTGGTGTTTGAATGAGGTGTGTTTGTTAGAGCTGTATTGAGTGAAAGTTTGTTGGAGTGAAAACTTACTGAATGGTAGACATCCAGTAGAAGGGTTTGTGACCACTGTGTAGATCCTTACTTGTTTGCATGATATCAGGTTGACTAGTCACATTACATTACATTACATGAAAACCACTCTCAAACGGCAAGAGTGGGTAAGCAGATCTACTCGTATAGCAATTTAACCTCTGCTATTTATGTATTTAATCTAACCAATCAATTATGTGATGTCAGTTTAGATAAATGCTGTACATTGAATGACTTATGAATGTAATCTTAAGATTGTTGGCAGTCTGTGAAATGTTTTATTACAAAGTAATGTGCGAATAAAACAGTGTTAGCATAATCTGCTAATTAGATCAGTGGACCAGGGTAATTGGAGGAAACATTATGCACATTTTTACTCTGGGAATAGAATTACCCACACCTGTTTCATTGTTTTATCTCCAGATTGAAACTGGTTTAATCAGCAAAAACAGTATTATCGTTTAAGCATTTAGCGCTAGAAGCACAATGAGGATCACTTATAAATTTTATAAAGATCACTTATAAATTTCTAATCTAATGCCCTGTATTTATTGCAATAAAATAATTATTACCTGGGTCTCTGGTTAACTTATAGGTGCTTGGAAAATAGTTTTTATGAAGAGCCTGAAGCCTAAGGGATTTTAAAATTAGTTTTGCATCACACTGTGTTTGCTGTAATTCAATAGTTATCACATGGGTGCTTAGGTAACATAAGGATGTTGGCCAAAATAATCAAACAGTCTGCAGTTTAAATGAACATTAATTGATTTTGAATCACACTTTTTTCCTTTCGAATGAACTAAATATCAACTGGACGCCTGGGTGTCTTAACATTATATTCGCGCTGCATTCATAATAACAGCCTAATGTAGAGTTAAAATGTTCTTTAATAGATTTGTGCGTCATATTACATTGAATGTAATGAACTAATTATTTCCTAGATATCTAAGTACCATTAGAGTGATAACGTATTATAACAGTGGCATGACCAACCATATGAGACAGCCATTTTGTGAAAGTTTTCAGCAGTTATGCGCTTGCCCTTGTGTTCAAATCCCTCCTTCCATTAATGATAAATCACACAGTCATGGTGAGGTTTAATGGTTCCTTTTCCTGCGTTTAATTCGCAGAAACACCAGGTGCGGCCAGTAAAATCAGCCAACTGCAATAACATTTTATTGCACACACTAAAATACCAGTGGATATTTCCAGTGTGTTCCAAAACGGCAGGTGTAATTCTTTCTGTCGCAGTTTCTCCAAAGTGATTAAGTGTTTTTGAACATGAAGACTCCCTTTCAGTTTTAGTGATATATTAACTACATGCAGCAATATTTTAGAAGCTTGTTTTCTCATGCACTTAAAAAACAACTGTGCGGTAGAGTATGCTATTAAGGTTGAAAAAAAAAATATGAGCGAATTTAAATCAACCATCCATAGCCATTCTTCTACAGGCATTGTTTTTGTTAAATGAATAATTCCCTGAAACCATGTTGAGAGTGAGATAGTTGAGATTTCTAAAAAAAAAAAAAAAAAAAAAACAGTACTGAAAAATCTAATGTGCCCTTTTTTCCCAAATGCTGCACATACTCAGATGATCCTCAGCCATGTTCTATATTATTCTACCACTATACATACTGTATGTAAGCAAGAGTACCTTTACTTGAAAAACAGAGTAATTATGTATAATTATCTAATGCATTTCAATGAAGCACTTATGCTTTAAGTTAAGAGTTAATCACAGGACTCCCTAGTTCTTTCAATTAGCTACAATTGCGAACAGTAAAGCCAGTTAAGCACAAGACATTGACAATGCAGCCACATCAAGATACTACTTTGTTGGTTCAAATGCCACAATTACTGTAGTAACCTGGCACTTTAACTGCAACTTACTGTGTAATTACATTGTAATTGCATGTATATGGGGCCTCCGATAGGCATTCTCAATAGAGTTCAATTAAGGCATAAACCCTTCCTCTCCTCCTATGAGGTAACCTTTCACATAATGAATCAAGGCAGACCAGAGGTGATTCGACATCTGGCTGCTAAAATAACAAGTGTTGCCAAGTTAACAAGAAAGCCATAAAGTAATAGATATAAGTGCTGAAAAATGTGTTCACGATGCAGGAAGGAACCTTCACACAACCCGTCTACCCCCCAGCACTGCTTACTAAGGATGGAAGAGGGAAGCCAATCTGTTCCAACAAGATGAAACTAATTTACTCCGATTGCCTGCAACTCTGGCGTTATCACGTATTTTCACCCACTCACAGCCAGGCATAGTACATTCCGTAACTCTGCGGTTTCAATATCAAATGTGGCAGATGCTCAGTCCTTAAAACTGAGGGCCAATGCTTCACAACCAATATATTTTGGAAAAAATGTTTTACAATTACAATAGTAATTGTAAAATTTAATTTTAAAAATATTATTTTAAATAATATTGTTTAAAATTTGTCCAGACAGCTGTGGCAGGTATTTGTCAGCTTAATGAAATGTAGTGAGAAAGAAAGAAAATAAAATTTAAAAAAAAAAAAAAAATTATAATAATAATTAGTTGCCGGATTCGGCATTCTCTTCAAACAGTTTTGGAAAAGGTACAAAAAATTCCAAGCCATTTTTTTTTACTGTCTTTTAGAGAGATGCTTACACAATTCAGTATATTCCTAGCACAATGGTAAATAAAGTGCCATACTTGTGATAACATTAATGGCAATCAACTATCCATCCATTATCTAAGGATAGCAGAATGCCGTTGAGAAGCGGGCAAACAAAGACCAGCAGAATTGGCCCTCAAATACCCGTGAGAGTGTTTATTATTGCACCATGGATTACATTACATTTATTTAGCAGACGATTTTATCTGGAGTGA